TGGTTTTAATCAAGATAATGAAGTCCTTAGCTGGGGCCATACTTTTCATATCAAAACATTAGCACATGAAAGATCACATGGTTTTGTCATCTAATCATGAATGGTTTACTAAATTTGATTTACTCAATGTGGAAAATGGTAAAAAAATAAATAAAGGAATAAAAATAGAATTGATGACTTTCTGGGGCGTCCAAGCTCGCAGTGTAATTTTCTATTTAAAAAATAAATAAAAAAAAAATACATGCAGATACCTTTGAGTGAAAACCAAAACATTTCCATATAAATTGTGTATAGAGATATTAAACGAGCTAATTTTAACAGTTTCGATTAAGCTAAACAATCCCAACAAATTTCGAACTACACGAGCTACTACAAACCAACCATTCATCGAAATTTTCAGTTTTTAATTTAATTGCAAATTGAATATAAACATAATTTAGTTAAAATGCATTAACAAAAAATCCAACTAAAAAATTTTATAAGGACAATAATCATATAGTTAAACTTTTCTCCTTATATACCAAAAAAAAAATAGTTTTCTATTACATTTTTTAAAATTAATTTTAAACATTGAAATTTTCATCCCAAACCCAACATTCAACAACGTCAAACACAAAATCTTTTTATCTTAAAAATCCGGTCTAATTGATTTCCACTGATCATAAGAAAATGAAATCAATTCAAACTCCAGGCAATACATGCCAAAGGAAAGAAGACCTAAATCAAAATCAGTATATTAAAAGCATAAAATCAATTGCAACATAGAATATGTCAAAGATTAAACATTACAACAAAATTTCAGCCAGCTTTGTTCAATAAAACAAATAAAAACAAAAAAGGCAAATGTAATATCAAGAACACAGCATAAAACATAACACATCGAAAAAAATTGTGACCCTTATGCAGATTTCATAGCCTCGTCGATCTGTTTCTTTCGTTCTTTCAGATGCCGTACGCGATCCTGTTTCTTCTTTTTGCCCATCTGACGAATAAAGCAAAAAGATATAAGCAACATTTATTAAAGAAGCAAAGAAAGAAGAAAAAAAGAAAAAAAACGAGATCTCGAATAAATGAGCAAATTTCCAAAATCTCTAACATAAAATAATTTGCGAATTCTTACCTCCATGGCTTCTAAAAGTCGAGCCCTTTTGCGTGGCATTCCAATCTTTGACATACTAGATGCATCCTGGGCCATTTGATTCAAATCGGGGGCTGTGTCGAATTCGGCATAATCCTCAGCTTCAATGCCTCTGGGAAGAGAAGAATACTGGTCACCTTGGAGCTCTCGTTTCAACTCTTCGTGATATTGCTTTTGCTTTGTTAACATCTGAATCCATCAAAATATATAAAAATAGTACGTTAGCTGCAGAGAAAGATATTTTATTTTATAACGTTCATTTATATATTATATTTAGCTGCAGAGAGATAATTTGGATATGAGACTAGTAATTCGACCGAGTAAATTTACATAGAATCACCATGAAACAAGATTTTAAAATTCTCATTACTTCATAATATGCAGAAGAAAAAATCTATGAATTTTATCAAATCAAATGTAGTCCCGATAACAAGATGTTGCTGCACAACAACTACTACTTAACTTGAGTGATTTTTAATAGCCAATTAGTTCATATTCATCAGTCTAACATTCTCATACTCGTCACACTTGAAAAGGAATTAGGTGGTAGTAGTAGATATAGGGTGTGTTTGTATATTAAATAACTCAATTCACACTCAATACGTACTCAAAATTCAACTCAACATTAACCCAACCTCGCTATCATCAATATTATCAATATAATTAAATAATATCAATCAATTATTCTTACACATCACGTCAACTATAATTCACTATTCATCCGCTGACATAATTTTAACTAGCCATCACTTCAATTCACATCATCTCTCTCTTACTTTTATATCAAATCAACTTTAATTATTTTATTTTAAATACTATTTTAATATAAACTCAAAATCTCACTAACAACAAATCGTACCACTTTTTTTAAAATTAACAATGGTTAACTAAAGAAACTCGTTTTGAGCGGGTATATTTGTATCCAAAGTCCAAACACGCCCATAATATCCAACTCAAAGTCTCAAACTTTGACCACAATTTAAAATTAGGCTCTTATGCAGGAAAAGATCAATACCTTCTGTTTTCTCTCAGCAGCTTCAATAGCTTCTTTTCGGTCACTGATGCCAAGTAAACTGTGAGGGTCATCCAAGTCTTCTTTTCCTGTGCCAGGCAATGGTAGGATATCGTTTCTTTGAGCATTCTTCAGTCGCTCAATAGCTTCTGCATACTCAGGAACATGACCTTCTGCTTCATTGTCTACAAATGGGGATAAATGTGGCGGAGGAACACTGCAAAAGAAAGCAAATATTAAAAAAAAAACGTGAGTCTGAGGGCGTGCTTGGATACAAATATATCCGCTCGAATAAACAGTGAATTAAAGTTATTGTGATGTGTAATAATGATTGATTGATATTATTTAATTATATTGATAATATCGAGGATAGTGGAGTTGAGTTAAAGTTGAGTTAGATTTTGAGTATGAATTGAGATAATTTATAAACAAACACACCCTAAATGACAAAAAGTTATCCAAGTCAAGATAAATGACTTAAAAAAGTGCCAGAGGAAATTGTTGCAGGATTACCATCCAACCATATATTTCTCGGTGGGCAATATAATGCGTGCATTGACACAATCATAAACCCACTGAGGCTGCACATATTCTCTGGAAAGGAATTTGCGTCCCTGAGATGGTCTATCAACAATCTGCACAAATATGGAAAAAATAGATACTGATTGTACACATGGCACTAGCAAGAACAAAACTATGGTAACACAGAGAATAGCTTGCAATACATATAGACCTAGAAAGCCCCTTCTCATATGAAAATGGTGAGACGTTATCATTAAATAAACTCGTAGAAGCTCATCTACTTGGATCAACACACTGTTGAACCTCAACAAAAGAAGCATCCGGAAATGCAAAAACGCTCTAACTTCACACCTTACTATGTTTTGGGGGTGAAAAAGCTAAAAGGTCAGCAAAGACAAGATGCAGAATGAAACTGTTTACTAGAGATAATCATGAAATAACAATAATAATATCCACAACTCTAACAAAAAAACAAAATTAAACCAAACAAGGTAGTGCAAGCAACTAGGCAGCAAATGGCAAAAGGGTATGAGGTAGTTTTGACAAGGACTAAACAATAACCAGAAAAACCACTACTAAATGCTATCCTACATATTAGCACATGTACCATTAATCCAGAAATTATTTAATGATCAGCGCTTATTTTTTCAGCAAAAACTGTTATATTAAAAGCATATACATAGATAAAACACAAAATACATAATTGCACAGAACTAATCTGACAAGTCATTTCTGCATCACCTACTAAATGCTACATGCATATTTATAAAATCATGAAATGACACACCTGATGAGTGATACTATGGTCAGACTCCTCAAATGGTGCGCCTTCACCTTCCCAAGAAACTGTACCGCCGAAAGCAGGAATGATGAACAGTAATGATTCTCTAGGAACCTGAACAATGATTGGTTGCAGACAAGTCAATAAAGAGTAGACACTAGATGAAGAATGAAGACGGCTCGTAATATTAATCAATTTCCCCACTGCTGTGTGTGGAATCAAGTAGTAGTCCTTCTGTGGAGGAAACCTCCTAGGAATAAGATACAGGACTAAAAAGAGAACCGAAAAAAGCCGAAAATGATAAGTATAGAAGCCAGTAAAGCAAATCAATCACCAATGGAACCACAAGATACAGATTATGTGAAGTAGAATCCTGACTCAGAATCCTCAGATGAATAATCTTGTTGGGTAAAGTTTCCCTTCATCGGGTCACAGAGAAGATAGAAGACATTGCTTTGCTTTGATCACTCAGGGGAGAAAAAATAAATAAATAAATAAAAAAGGAAGAAAAGATGAATAGGAAACAAAAAGTTACTGTAGGAAGAATACAGTGTCTCACCTCACGACTCAAAAAAAATTTCATGTTCCTGAAGAGATTTTTGCATTCCTGTGTTTCTGCATCTTCCTTATCCTCATTAGCGACATCTTCAACAAGGTGCATCAAAGCACCAGCTTCATTAGAAGGAAGCTGTTGCTGAAGCTGGGCAAGCCTAAGTTCAGATTCATCAGGTTTTGTCCCCTCAAGCTGGTTGGTCTGGTCAGATCCAGATGAAGTATCCATTTTCATAGAGGAACTTTGAGCATGAGCATCAAAGTATCTTGACAGGGCATAAAGATCTGGATGTGTTCCAACAACACCAATACATTATAACATACATTAGCAACATTATTCCTTCTTCTACTCTACAAATTCTTTTATTTCATTAAACTTTTCGCAATCTTGAATAAAATTTTGATTTGAATAGATTTCACAACAAACAGATGATGTCATACCAGCAGCCAGAGCTTCAAGTCGAGAGTCCAAAATGGGTGGATACTTCACATTTATTGACTGATAAAGTTTGTAATTAACAAATGCAAGAAGAGTCTGCAAACAAATGATATTAGTAAGTTGCACTAGAAAAATACATAACACAAAATCACAGACCAGGTTACTACATAATCAGTTAATTAGCAGATATCATATTTTGCCAACTCAAGCCATAAAAAAGGGTTGGATTTTAACATCTTTACAATTCAATAAAATCTCTTAAAAAAGGTAATATGGGTCAAACGTTTGAAGGAAAGAAAAACCCAAAACTTCGGTTCCTCTTTCCCCATATAGGCACTGTTGGAGTACTCAGATTAAAATAAACAAAGAAGCAGGCATGGACTAACCTCGTAGAATTCCAAAAATGTTAGCAGAACTCTATAATCCACTTCAGGTAGAACTTGTTGCAGTGCATGTGGAGTTAACCAAGTAATCTTTTGCCCCTCAACCTCCGCCTGAGAAGATAAGCAACACGGGTATGGTAATCAACGTAATATTAAGCAAGACATAATAAAAAAAACACTTGCATTATTCATACGTACTTGGTAATAAATTCCTTTCACAGAAATGAAGGTCTTCCTTAGTTTATGCGTGCGAGAAATATAAGCCTGCCACTCATGACTCAACCTACAAGCATCATCGAAGGAAAACATCAGCAAACAAGTGGAACAGGAAAGCTATGTCACACAGAATCAATAAAATGGCCCAGAACTCAATAACAAAGATGAAGTGCATTTGACCTTCTGCAATTATGGACACGGCTTACGGGTATCTTCTCTCCATCAACAGCCCTATCCACAGCAGGCAATGCTGCAAATAGGTGTACCATACTTAGACAGTCATCAAGATCCCTCAATGCATCAATGAACTTGGGATACCTAAAAAGACGAGTAGAAGAACAGGTAAACAAACAGCAACAAGCGGGACCATTGTAAACCAAGCACAAAAGAAACTTGAGATTACTAAGTCCACCTCTCTTTAATGAGCATGTCAAGAGTGTAGGTAGGTTTTCGTGTCAACAATCGTTCAGCGAGATCCCTATTCTTCTTCGACATGGCCTTCTTCACCTTCTTCTCATAAGCTCGGATGTCCCTTAATCTCTCTAGTATTGGCTCATGTTTAAGGAACATTATATCTTTCATGTGATAATAAGAATGGTGATTTCCCTTCACCTTCTTCTTCGGTTCCCGAGGGAAAACACCTTTGAGGATGCATAATTTCCTGAGATAGTAAAACTCATAAGCAAATTTAACTCTCAACACTTGTATAAAATAAAAATATAGAGTAAACAACTAAAACAACGTGATAGCACATAAAATATGACAAGAATACACATAACTAACCAAAATAATAGAGAAGATAAAGCAGAATGTGAACTCATGACATATGCAAACCAACATCACACCCTCCTAATAAGGAAACTGAACTCGAATATATGCATAAAAAACATAGCAACAAACAAATGCAAAATTAATAAAGAAAAACAACAAATTAAAATATGGATAAACATAGAACAAATCCAGCGAAAAAATATGCTTCAAAAACCTGGCATAATTCGTATATAAGCCAGTAACAGATTAAAAAACGCTCTTTTCCAGCTAAATAAACTAACTACAGCTCAATCTTCACAAAATAACCTTCATCAGTGCGTGAAAAGTGTTCAAAACATAATTTACAAAACAAAAATTAAGGCATATACCCGCAGAACAAGAACAAACCTGAAAACAGGAAGGGTGACTTGGAGGTATTTCACCGCTTGAGACCTCGTCACATACTTAGCTGCATTACCTTCCTTTTTCTTTCCCTGAAAATCAAGTGCATAAAAACAAAAACAAAAAAATGAAATAAGAACTGAAGTTTCAGATAATGGATTCTAGATAGGTGGTCCGACTATCGGTGAAATCGAAACTTACAGCGGGCCTGTAGTGCTTCGGCATGGCGGCAGCCTAAGTACGGCGGCTACGGCGGGCAGAGATGGAGCGATTGAAGTGAAGAGGAGACCAGCTGACCAGGGTTTTGTTAGCGGCATGTGTAATGGGAATCGAATTATTGGGCTGAGCCTGCGCAGTTCAAAATAACCCATAGCCCAATCGAGAGACGAATTGTGGGCCATGGCTGATTTTGGGGCGTCCAGGTCCATATCAAAACTTTTGGATATCTCTCAATACAGGTTTGGGTCCGTCGTTCGGGATATTACTAGGGTTTGGGCAAACTACAAAAGGCATATATGTTTGATAAATACCTATATGTGGTAACTGATATCTTATAAATTAATTTTTATTTGATAATTGACAGTTTATGATTGAAAATATAGTTGATTTAATAAGAATATTTGATAAAAATAGTTAAAATAAAAATCTCAAAACACGCTTATTTAGAATGACACGTAGAGAACTTCTAAAATAAGCTCGACCTTTTAGAAAAAATTTATTCTACTAAAACAAACTTATTTTTGTAGCTAATTGGAAAAGCTTTTGTGATAAGCTAGAGGTGTTTTGAAAAGTTTATCCAAGCTAAATTTATTTAATAGAAAAAATGGTTTATAGGCTATTAAAAGAAGTTATTAGTAACTTGTGGTGCTTATAAATGACACTAATACAACTTTGTGAAGAAATAATTAAAAAAATACACAAATTTTTGTGAAAGGTAACTTATTCGTTACGCGGGTCGACCTGATATACTCATTGTATAAAAATACATATTTATCTTAAAAATGTAATACTTTTTTTTAGTTATTTTTCTAAATATGATATTTTATAATAAAATTTTGCATATTTGTTAAAAATGTACAGCTAAATGGTTTGGTCAGCCAATAAAAAAAGAAAAAGACTTTATCTTGCATTTTTTTTTTAAAGAGTCATCTATTGTGAACATATATTAGGCTGAATGTGACATCCAGAGAAAATATAGACAATATCACGAGATTGCAAGCAATTTGCTTTCTGAAATAACATGACTTGTCCAGTCATAAATTATAAGAATTGCCACTTGTACTTTCGAGGACGCGTACGTAAATGTGTATGAGTATGACTAACAAGTGTGTAGGAAATGTTGCATCAATTTAAGTATAGGTGTGGCCAGGGATATTAATTATAAACTCTCATGGAAAATGATTCATGTACTGATGTACATTGACAGTGGGAAATTTAACCATTCATAGTATACAATAATATTGCATGCCACTTTTTCCTCATTTATTCAATATATAAATATCACATATAGTTTTTGAGAGAAACAATTGGCACGGGATATATTATATATTTCTTACTGTAATTAATCATTTTCCACAAAATACAATTATTAAACGAAACAAGCCGCTCAACTCAGTTCGACTCGTTAAGAATTGAACTCAGCCCGACTCATTTGATAAACGAGTCACTCAAGCTTGTTTGATAAATGAGCCGAGCTTGAACTCATTCAAAGCTCGTTCGATCAACGTTTTGAGCTGAACTTGAAATTTTGATGTAATTTTCCTAAAACTCAAATCGTTCAGATTTTAGCTCGACTCGTTAATATTGATAGGTGAATTTAGTTCAACTTCAGTTATTGGCTTGTTTAGCGAGCTCAATTCGACAAAAACTCGAGCGAGAGCTCGAGTATCACTAACTCAAACTCGTTCCTCTTTTCACTAAGTCTTTAATTTTAACAATCTTACATGATATTTATAAATGTTCTCGTGTCTAATCTTTATACCCTTTTTTCACCATTCCATAATTCCACCGACGTACTTCCTTGACATTTATATATAAGGATTGTACCTCCCTTCTAATTTAACAACTTTTCATGCCCGAAAAACCACGGGCACTCGTCAAACGACACATAATTATTAACAAGGAAACATATATCGTGTCAAGTTGTGAACATTGAGACGAGCAATGACCTAAATAATGCATGCATATGTGCCATACTTGTAACAAGAAAGATAAGACTCAACATTATTCATAGTCCCTACACAACATAAATGGACCCTTTAGTGTCTAAATGAACACAATTATTAAGACAAATGTACTCTCTATAAATATGTCACCATTCATACTTGAATCTCCATCACCCCTTTGCAAAACTTCTCAATTTTCACAAAAAAAAAGAGAGAGAGAGAGAGATAAAAATCAAATGGGTTTACGATTCCACACAATTCTTCATCACGCTAAACACATAGTCGTTCGTCACCATCAACATTCATCATCTTCAACTGCAGTGGTAGCAACAAAAGGAGATAATTACGTGCCAAAGGGTCATTTGGCGGTTTACGTTGGGGAAAATATGCGTAAAAACCAACGATTTATTGTTCCGATTTCGTACTTGAGTCATCCTCTGTTTCAAGACTTGCTGAAGAGGTCCGAAGAAGAATACGGATTTTATCATCCCATGGGGGGAATCACGATCCCCTGCACGGAAAATGCGTTCAAGAATGTAACTTCACATTTGAACAAGTCATAATATAGCTTCTCCAAAATTGTACGTTTTTTGTACACAATCTGATTTATGTATCGATATGGAGTAAAATGCATAAAGGTTTTGTCATTTGTGGTCCATAGCTGTATATGGTTCGAGCTTAGCTTTCGTATAAATTAAACTCAATCATTTTCAAGAGAGGATAAGAACACAATAAGTTTTGGAGAAAATGAGAAGAATAAGGCAATGGAACAAGAAAGGGAAAGGATAACTTGNAGTTGTCAAAAGCAGCTAATAGCATAAGAAGTTTGGGATAAAAGATGATATATAAGTGACATGGAATTATAGTAGATGTGAGTCCATGAGTTATGGACAACACTATGAAAATAAATTTATGAATACCACTATGTATACATGATTTTGAGTCCATAACAATATTCATACTCACATAATAAAGTATTTGAATAGACCTAGCCCCATGTGAGTAAATGAACATCATTATGTAAACGAATTTATGTACAACTAACATTATTCACTGTGATATACTTTTATATATAGAATTATGTAAACGAATTTATGTACAGCTAACATTATTCATTGTGATATACAAGAATATATAGAAAGTATATAAATAATCAAATGGCATCACATGTGTATTATGTCAAACTGCATGTCAATTTTGCACAAACAAGCAATATTAGTATCGAATTCCAAATCAAATGAATGCTATATTTTGCACAAATAAGCAATACCTTAGTATCAAATTTCAAATCAATGAATGCTATTTTCCTCAACTGCAACAACAAAGGTTGGCACATGCTGGATGGTGAATATTCACCTGGACCCATAAAAAACATATTAAATAAATTTATCAATAAATAATTAAATTTCTATACTGCCAGCACATACCATGTAAATTGTTATAATTAGCACATTTGCTGTATGTCTATAACTTATCAGCCCCATTTTCAGGGATATGATCTGCAAGAAAACTATTAGAAAATAACCTTATTTTCAAATTTTATGACCAAAGCCATGTGACCATTGGCAATGTAGAGCCCCCTCTTTAACTGGACTCCCAAAATTTTAACAATATATATACACACCAACCAGCTCTTTAACACAATATCTCCACATCTTACCAAAATTCACAAGCCAAAAATAGTCTATTTTTCAACTATCCGAAAAGCAAAGTATGGCTATTCATTTACAGTCGTTGGTTTGGAACGCTAAGCAATTCTACAAGATTCAATCCCTTCTCAACAGAAACCAACCGGACTGCCCAAAGGCCATCTGGCAGTTTACGTTGGGAAATTTCAAAGGAAAAGATATGTTGTCCCAATATCTTACCTAAACCACCCATCGTTTCAAGATTTGTTGCACCAAGTGGAGGAAGAATTCGGGTTCAACCATCCAATGGAGGACTTACAATACCCTGCAGTGAGAAAGCATTTGTTGAACTCACTTCCAGATTGCAGCTGCCATGATATGCAACAAGAATAACGAACATCAATGTCTGCATTTTTTAATTCTTTCCTTATTTTTTTGGATTCGGAAAGGTATCGTGAAAGGATACAGATTTACAGATGTAAACTGTAAAAAAAGGGGATATAT